ACTTGGGTAAACGTGTGGGGCAGGGCCAAGTGTCCCCTGTCAGTGCTAAAGTGGAGGCTATAATGAATTTTCCCAAGCCTTCTAACAAGCGAGAGCTGCACCGTTTTCTCGGCATAGCCGGGTATTACAGAGGGTTTTGACGCAACTTTGCCAGCCTGGTGGCTCCCCTGACTGATCTTCTTCGGCCCTCCAACGTATTTCGCTGGTCTCCTGAGTGTGAACTTTCTTTTAATGGTGTAAAAGATCTGCTGAGCAACGCACCTGTTCTCACTGCTCCGAACTTTGAGCGCCCCTTTCAGCTGGAGGTAGACGCAAGCGCTGTGGGAGCGGGAGCTGTCCTTTCACAAATTGCTGAAACTGGCATTGTAAAACCTGTGTGCTGTGTAATTTTTTTTTACTATGGGTAAACAATGCTAGTGTGTATTGTTCCTGTGTGTGTTTCCTCCATTATCTATCTTTCTCTCTCTCTCTCCACATGAGCGGAGATCAGGTGTAGCTGTGAGAGGGGCGGCGCCAGCTATAAAGGCACGCCGTTGATGCTCCTCATCGAGTTCTCATCCTGTTTCCCCTCGCTATTGTGTGTGTGTCTGAGCAGTTCGCTCTGAGTTCTCTGTGCGGCAGTGATCTGTCTGAAACCTTTTTTTTTTCATAGTAATCTGGTGAGATACTCTGTTAAATACGGTAATAGGACGGTAACCTGCATTAGCGGTGGCTGATTGTGTAATACCTTTCTCCAACCCTGTTTCAAAGTCATCTGGTGAGATACTCTGTTAAATACGGTACTAGGACGGTATCATGTGTTAGCTGTGACTAATATTTACCTTAAGGCTAAATGATCAAAGGGAAGGCCCTTTTTCTTTTGTCCAGTTTTCTCCTGTTTTGTGGTTAGTTAGGGAGGTTAGAATTGTATGCTTAATTTAAGGAACTTTATGTTTTGGTTTACTTTTTGTTCTCTAATTCTGATTTTGACCTTTTTGTTTAATAAATCTAATACCCCTTTTTAACAACTTGGCCTGTGTGTGTGTGCTTGGGGAGCAGGAACGGGGACTCCGGGTGACCATTTTTTATAGCGGTCATCCTTAAATTTATGTGCGTAGCGGGGTGCATCCGCTACGTAACAGTATCTTACCAATCGTGTTAATATTATTTACGTGGCCAACGATAATAATTTTACACAGTACTGAGTTAACTTTTAGCAAGTTAACAAGATCTACAGCTCAAGGCAATGATTTAGAAGCACATAAACAAGAACACAATTCTTACAAAATGAGAACAAAGATTTATTGAGCTACACTACGATACATGAAACTAACTACGTAATAAGCAAACAACAAACAAACTCGCACACACAGAGGCAGTTCAGAGGATGTAAAATGAGTTGACAACCATCCCAAATTAATTCTAATACTTCTAACAAGATTTTAGAATAACACCTGAGAAACCACAAAAGCAGAGATATGGCTTATCTTTAACTGTTTACGAACAATCTGCACCAGGGGCCTGTTTCAGAAAGCAGGTTAAGTGAAAACTCAGAGTATTTTAACCCTGAAATGAGAGAAACTCTGGGATTTCCTTTTCAAAATGGCAGGTTTGTTAAACTCGAGAAATCGGGGTAAGTCAAGCCTGTTTCTGAAAGAGAGGTAACTTTAACTCAGAGTCAGTTACTGTGGTAACTTACTCTGTGAATCTAACCTGGTCCGGAGCAGGTTTTATTCTCTAAACTCTGAGTTTCTGTCGGTCTCCTCCCCTTTTTTAAAGATGAATCGTATTTTTCGCCTTATACGTTTACACCCACCTATTTTAGAGCTCATTTTGGAGATGCCCATAAAAACGATTAATGGAAACGTCATGATTCACATAACTTTTGAAAATACTCATAATAAAACATGTGCATAACTGAGTAGATTAAACTTTTATTTGATAAGAAAAGATGTGCATAAACTACGAAGGAAACACTTAACAAATTACAGTATGTACATTAAAAAAAGGTTTGTTAGAGATGATGATGAAAATGTGAGTGAATGGACAAACCAGCAGACTGAGCACAGTGTAGAACTAACTTTGCATGAGCAGATTAAATTCAGCCGGAGAAAGAAATGCTGATCTCTTTTTTAAGATGCTGCCGTAGTCACTCATAATATCTGCGCTTGATTGATAATGCCTTTTTATAGTCACGGTGTGTGCGCTTAACTCTGAGTTGGTCTACTCGAAGTTGATTGACCCAACTCAGATCAGCTATTCTGAAACCGAAAACTCAGAGTTTTTAATCTCTCTGTAAATCAACTCAGAGTTCAAGTTTAAACTCCGAGTTGTTTAAACCTCCTTACTGAAACAGGCCCCAGATCAGCAAGAGACGTTTGTTTGTTACTTGCACTTTTGCTGAAGATGAATCTCCCTCGCCAGTTGGCCTTGGGGAAACACGGTTTTCTGTGACGTCCTTGGAATTCCCTCGCTTGTGGGTGGGTAGTTCTGGGATACTGAGGTGATGGACTGCTGAAAGTCGGTTTGCAGAAGTTCGTGCGGTTTCAAAGCAAAGTTTCTTTGTTGCAGGGTGTCTTTAAGTGACCTGGGGCCTGTTTCAGTAAGGAGGTTCAAACAACTCGGAGTTTAAACTTGAACTCTGAGTTGATTTACCGAGAGATTTTCGGTTTCAGAACAGCTGATCTGAGTTGGGTCAATCAACTTTGAGTAGACCAACTCAGAGTTAAGCGCGCGCACCGTGACTATAAAAAGGCATTATCAATACAGCGTAGACATTACGAGTGACTATGGCAACATCTTAAAAAAAGAGATCAGCATTTCTTTCTCCAGCTGAACTTGATGTGCTCATGCAAAGTTATAGCAAATATGAGTGTATATATTTAAAATGAAGCAACCATCAGTGAAACAGAGACAGCGTGGGAAAACAGCTGCTCAAGTTAATGCGTAATTTTTAATTTTAAGTATTTAAACATTTTAAGTATAATAAAATAAGTAATATAATGTGTGACGTTTATACTTTTTTTCTAAACTTTTATACACTTTTATCAGTTTTAATAGATTTAACAGTGCACTTGTGTGTCTGCCTTTTTATTGATCAAGTGATAGAGGTTTATATAACATTAAGAAGGTAAGCAGTAATAAAATCATTTAGACAGAAACATAATCCCATTAATCTAGTAACAGTGCATGTCGAAGGTTAATTATTTATGAAAAAAAGGACAAGCCTCGTACGTGACTTTGTTCTGTGTGTAACAAAAATGTAGGCAATAGCTGTTGTGTTTCCATCAAAATATAGGCTATTACATAAATTTGTGCAAAACTGGAATAACGCCTAAAAATAAAGCAGCGTTTTTATCCAAAGAGTCGAAGAGAACACAATCGTCACTTCCTGATTAACTTGCGCCAAATATCAACAGTAAAAACAGAATTACTGCGGTAGAAGAAGCTGCATCAATGATTTTTTATTTAATTAATGTACCTGTCCTGAGCCTCAGAAGACAAATTGACACACAATGAACACGTGGGGGCGTTTAAAGCCAGACGCAGAGATCTTGACACGCTCCAGACGCTCTGAGGTAATTAATAATATACACTAATTCTGAAACAGTAAATGCATTTTAGAATGACTAAAACAACATTTAAGATGTTCTGCAGTGTGCTCAGTCTGCTGGGTTGTCCTTTCACACACATTTTCATCATCATCTCTAACAAACCATTTTTTAATGTACATACTGTAATTTGTTAAGTGCACTTCGTAGTTTATGCGCATCTTTTCTTATCAAATAAAAGTTTAACCTACTCAGTTATGTACATGTTTTATTATGCGTATTTTCAAAAGTTATGTGAATCATGACGTTTCCATCAATCTTTTTTATGCACATCTCCAAAATGAGCTCTAAAATAGGTGTGTGGAAATGTAAGACTAATGCGAGAAATACCGCTTCATCTTTAAAAAGGGGAGGAGACCGACAGAAATTCTGAGTTTAGAGAATAAAACCTGCTCCGGACCAGGTTAGATTCACAGAGTAAGTTACCACGGTAACTGACTCTGAGTTAAAGTTAACTCTCTTTCAGAAACAGACTTGACTTACCCTGCTTTCTCAAGTTTAACAAACCTGCCATTTTGAAACGGAAAACCCAGAGTTTCTCTCATTTCAGGGTTAAACTACTCTGAGTTTACACTTAACCTGCTTTCTGAAACAAGCCCCTGGTCTGATCCATCCCTATGGCACTGTCTGCCAATGAGCAATTGCCATGAAGGGCAGGGCCACACCCCGTGCCGATGTAGAAAGGGTCAATCATTAACACACTGCATGTAGATTTCACGGGGAAGAACTCTTGCAAGATTGAAACTCTTACATCAAATGTTACAAGATGAATACTGTTTGTACTACTAGTTTTTCATTTACACCAACAGATTGCAAATGTCACTAGCTTTCATTCAAGACCAGATCTCATACATTTTAGACACACGCAGATCAATTTAATCTGCTTTAAGGGTTAAAACAACACATTGATTAACCTGGTTGGTTGAAATAACCACAGCATATGAGGAACATTATGGTGTATTAATCAAAGATACATCTGCCTTAGTTCTAACATTTAAAGAGATTGTCTTTCATTTGTAAGCATTAATGTTTCTAGAGATCTCTTCGTCTCTACGAAATTGTGCATCTGACAGGATGCACAATTTCAATGTCATTCAAAAGTCTTGTGAGGCGGTTCCTGCTGAAAATCCTGTAAAGCCCCTTTGTTTAGTTTAAATCATTTACTAATTTTGCTGAAGGGTACCTGGAACATCTGCGGCCAAAGTATTGGTCAGAATAACGCAAAATCAATTGGTGCTTTGTTATCATGATGGTTTAAGCCCTTAAGCCAGTTCAATGACTGAGACAATTTGCAGATGCCCAAGATTTCAGATTCAACTCGTGTTGACCACTGCAATATGCCCATGAGTTCCTTCAATGTGTTTATTAAGGGATGATGATTTGCTGAAACTATCCCCACACTGAGTGCATGTAAATGGTTTCTCTCCAGTGTGGATCCTCATGTGGTGATTAAGGTGTGATGAGCAGTAAAAACTCTTCCCACACTGAGTGCATGCGTATGGTTTCTCTCCAGTGTGGATCCTCATGTGTAGATTAAGGTATGATGATTGGCTGAAACTCTTCCCACACTGAGTGCATTTGAATGGTTTCTCTCCAGTGTGGATCCTCATGTGGTGATTAAGGTTTGTTAAGCAGTTAAAACTCTTCCCACACTGAGTGCATACGTATGGTTTCTCTCCAGTGTGGATCCTCATGTGTTGATTAAGGTGTGACGATTGTTTGAAACTCTTCACACACTCAGTGCATGTGAATGGTTTCTTTCCAGTGTGGATCATCATGTGTTGATTAAGGTGTGATGAGCAGTTAAAACTTTTCCCACAATGAGTGCATGTGAAGGGTTTCTCTCCAGTGTGGATCATCATGTGTAAATTAAGGTGTGATGATTGGTTGAAACTCTTCCCACACTGAGTGCATGTGAATGGTTTCTTTCCAGTGTGGATCATCATGTGATAACTAAGGTGAGATGATTGGTTGAAACTCTTCCCACATTGAGTGCATGTGAATGGTTTCTCTCCAGTGTGGATTATTATGTGAATCTTAAGTTTGCTTTTGGTTGCGAAACTCCACACTGAGTGCAGGTGAAACGATTCTTGTCTCTCCTTTTTAAAACACCATCAGTCTGTAAATGAGTTTTTTCCTCAATTTTGACATGATGTTCCTCCTCTTTACTCCCCTCATTCTCTTCAATTAGGTCTGAAATAAATAAAACATTAGTTTTCATTAAGTCTTAAAAACTCTCATCAAAAGCTGAAAAGTGGAAAGACACTGGAAACATTGGCTACACACACTATAATTTTGATGCACATTAAATGTAAAATAAATCAGATCATATTTTGTTTGGTCCATTAACGTGTACACATTTAAGCAGATTCAATTCAATTCATCTTTATTTATCTAGTGCTTTTACAATGTAAATTGTGTCAAAGCCGCTTAACATAAAAGTTATAGTGAATTTAAACAGTGTCAGTCCAGTTTTTAGAGTTTTTCATAAAAGTCATTTTGGTCATATTGATAAGACACAGATTTCTACGATTTGTAAAGTGGACAGGGAATACTTGTTTGTTGTGTGCCTGACTGGTAAATGTATCAGAAAAAAAGTTCTGGGGTAACAGCTGAATATTTGCCTCGCAGAAATGAGACATACCTGTACAGCATCTGCATAAAGGCTGGAATGTGCACCTTTCCCTTTGTTTGCTGTTGGGTCATTTTCATCCATTCTGGGGTGATTTTGAGGCTTAATTTGGCAAAAACGTTCTCAGTGTTTCAGCAAAGGGACTGATATTTGGGGACATCTTATTTTGACCTATTCTGGAAAAATGCGCCATTGGCCTCTATTATAATTTTTTTAATAGTGCAAATAAAATACAATAAATAATAACAACAACAACAACAACAACATGGAAATCACTCAAATAAGCATATAAATGAGAGTAATAAATTCATCAAGACACAATGAGTTCCCCATCAATGGGAAAATGCTTAAAATTTTTTTTTAAAAACCTCAATACACTCTGGGCAAATTTACTCCCTTTTCATTATATTCATGGCTGTTTTTTCTCCATTGACCTCTATTATAAGAACATTTTTTTTTTTATTGCAAAGCCATGACAGCATATATTCATGAATTTATGATTGTTGGTGTTCTTTGTAACGACATTGTTTAATTAGTCTTTAATTGACGGCAAAAAGGAAATGGGTGAGAGAATAAAGGAGGAGGAGGAGAGTTAAAGAAGGCAGCATTTTGTGGTGTGTAGAAGAAAGAGATGTTGACTGAACTGTTGCAGTGTGGGGAAAGGAGTAGAGAAGTCGGGTCGAGATGAGCAGTGTAAACTTAACGACTGGCTGTGAGAAACAAAAAGCGGAAGTATGTATTGAAGCAACAGAGCAAAGACCGCTGTCTTGTTACTGAAGTGCACGTGACGTCGTTGAATGTGTGCGTCACTAAAGACTTCAGTGCAATGTGTCCTGAACAAAATCAACTCACTGATTTATCTTTCTTGCTGGCATGGAGTCAGCTGCCAACTCACCGGCTGGGTTCACCAACACCCTCAACCTTCACATCCACATTCGCCATTCCCCACTCATGTCCCTTGACCCCTCCACTCCGTGGGTAAGAAGCAAAAGTTTTTGTTTTCTTTGCCCAAATGCTCATTTTGTTTTTCTTGTTTTGTTTTCTCCCCGTACTATTGTTATCATTATTATTTTCCCCGTTTTCAAATCTGACAAATCTGCTGGCCTGAAATCATTTGCATTTTTTTCTTTCATTTGAGTTATAAGTGCTGAGGGTTCTGCGTTTCATTGTTATATTGTTTGTTTTGTTGTTGATACTGATGTTTGTGTGTGAAAAGTTTTTTTTATTATTATTATTGACTAATACAAACTTTATTTAGACAATTACAGCAATTATCTGAGTTTTTTCTGGTTCTCTTTGTTTGTTATTTTATTTTATTTTTTTTATTATTTGTAACTGGTGGTGAGAGCTAGCCGTGGTATATTTTGTTTGAAATGTATTTTGACAGATATTCTGTCTGGCGCCCAAGATTAACTACTTAAAAACAAGTGACAAACATATTTGTTTAATATTTGTTTATTGTATTTTTTGGGGGGGAATCACCATTCCCACATCACCATTACATTTCCCTGTTGGGAAGAGATTTGTGATTTTTAAAATTGATTATCAGTTCAGTGCAAAAAAGTTTCTGCCTTTTATATGGAGTATAGTGTGTGTGTGTGTGTGTGTGTGTGTGTGTGTGTGTGTGCGTGTGTGAAAGAGAGAGAAGCTGGATTTATTGACCTTATTCTAAAATGCGGAAGTGCGCCTGTTTTCGCGATTGTTTTAGAACTTCCGATTCAGTTGCCTAAGGTAGAAATGACTAGGAATAATAAACGGCAGAAAATGGTCAAACTACTTGCTCTACAAGCAAATGTTTGCATGACTATACAGACCAAGTAGAATAATATAATAAGGAAATATCAGTTTGCAACATCAAACAGCGAAAATAGCAGTTTTTAATGTCTAAAAATGAATGTAAGTGAAAGACCGGAAGTCTCGTGCCAAAAAGATTCAAATGGCTGCGCCCGCTCGTCGGCGAAGAATAAGGTGAATACTCTAGCCTGGCGCCGCATCATGCACCACCGCTGACTGCACGCTTACCTCGTGAAATGGACGAGGCCTTACTCGCCACGTTCGCCATTGTGATATTCTTTAAAATGACAGGGGGCAATCAAAAGAAACCCACTGTAAAGTCAGACGGATAAACAGAGAAGTAGAAAGTTTCCAAAACTACGTCATTTCATTAATATCGTTCAATGTTTTTAAACTAAATAGATTTTTTGTTTAAATAAATTATTTTAATGATATAAGGATTTCTATGACCATTCAAGATTTTTTTTTTTATCAAACTTTGGTGCATCACTTGCTTTTGTTCATATCTCGGACAGTTCTACCCATTATAATTTCTTAAAACATTCTTAAAACATTAATGACTGCAGAACATGGGTTGCTCTACAAATACATATTTTTATTATGGCAAGAATAAAAGCAACAACAACAAAAAAAGTACACTTACTAAAAAATACATGTGTCTTTAGATTTTGCCCGCTCCACAATTCACAGATTACTGTCTGGCTAGTTTCTCTCCTCTGCTTATGCTAAAAGGCAATAATGGTCCAACGTTTCTGACGATTAACACCAATAAAGCCTGGAAAAACAGGCATCAGTATATTGTAAACTGATAGGTTCAAATATTCCCTGTGTGTTTTGTTTTTGTGAAGTTTCAGTGCACTTTATTGACGCATTTCATTAAAACAGTTTGCATAGAGAGAAAAGAGAGAATTCTAGACATCTAATTGTTGTTGTTCTGAGATTTTATGTAAATCGGTCTACAAACTTGTTGTGAGTGTTGAAGCTGGCCTCTGCTGATGAAACTGCAAACTATCTACAGTAAACTTTCTTTTAATTAAATCTCTGACTCCTGCTCTTCTTCATCTGATAGACTGGTCATTTTTGGGTTAAAACTGTTGGTCCCCCTACAAAGTGTATTTATGCACTCACACTATAATCTGCTGTTTTACTCCACTGAACTCCATATAAAAGACAGAAACTTATTTGAACAGGCCCATCTAAAGGGTGAATGCAGCCAACTGATGATCAACAGTAAAAATGACACATTTGACCTCTTCCCAACAGGGAAAACAGCAACAATCTAGAACGCATGATTATTTGGTGTCATGGCTTTGCGGTTAAAAAATGTGGTTATAATGGAAGTCAATGGGTCCAAAAACAGCCAAGAACATAATGAAAGAGTATATAGATTGCGAGATTAATCGTATTATCATTCATGATAACGATATTCTTGGCCCATGATCATGAAAATGGGAGACTAATAATACATAAAAGAATGACAAAAGACATGAGAACAAGTAACAAATGAAACTCATTCCTGTTTTTCAATGAATGCTTATGTGCATTTAGGAGAACTAGGCAGCACACTCAGGGCTGCAAGATAGATTACTTTAGTATTCTTATTATTAAAATATATCTGAATGAGGATTAAATGACTGAGTTGGTCTTTGAGAATGAAAACTAACCTGTTTGTTCCTGCAGATCTTCCTGTTTGACTGTAATTGTTTCTTCAATCTTCACATCTTCACTCTCCTCTTTAATAAATGCCATCTTTATAACAGTGTGGAGATCAGTCGCTTCAGCAGGAGTTTTTCTCTGCGTTTGGACACTTTATCCTGCTTAAAATGAACAAAACAATAAAAATGTTCCGTTTAAAATAAATAAAACAATGAACAGAAACAAAATAACTTCTCTTCAACACTTGCTTCAACAGTCTCTTTGTATGAAAGAAATTAACAAAAAGAAATCAGGTAAGTCAGAGCGAGAAACAAAACCCACAAATGACCTGATTAAAACTAGTACTCCATTTCTTATAGTGATGTATACTTAGAATGGAATGACATTATACTATTTAATAAAGTAAACCTTCATTAAAACACTTATTACATACTATTACATCCCTGTAACTTAATTTGAGTATGTTCTTAATTGTTGTTTGTTTTATTTACTTTATTGTCTGCTTACAGCAATGTGTAGCATTTTTTTGCCCAAGACAAATTTCCTCTCGGGGACAAAAAGTTTATCCTATCTTTATTCAAACAATAGACCTCATTACTGTGAGTTAAATAGTACTATGTTGTATAAAGGGTTAAAATAAAATTGTCAACAGCAGGTACATAATTTAGCACTGAATGAAAAAACAAACTTTAATCAATCGCTTTATATAAGTGTAAACGCTTTAAAACAAACCTTTCTTCAGTTGAATCACAGCACGGGAGCGGCGCAGGCTTATGACGTCACAATCCACGCCAAAATAAAAGTCTTTTTAACCTTTTTTTTGGCACTTAAGTTACTTTTAGTCATGACTTATTATTTATAGTTTTCTCTGCGTTTGGACTTTTTATCCTGTTAAAAATTAACAAAGCAATGAAAAATTTTCTGTTTAAAATAAATAAAACTTTTAACAGAAACAAAATAACTCCTCTTCAACAGTTTATTTATATGAGAGTAATTAACAAAAATAAATCCAGTAAGTCCGAGCAAAAAACAATAGCCACAACTGAGCTGATTAAAATTAGTACTGCATTTTTTATATATAGTAATGTATACTTAGATTGAAGTGAAATTATTTTATTTAAAAAAAATTAAACCTTTATTAAGACTCTTAATACACTAATGTTGTTCCATAGTCCTCTTTACTTTGAGTAAAACAGTATTACGTTGTATAAAGGGTTAAAATAATATTGTCAACAGCAGGTACATCATTTAGTATTGGATGAAAAACCTGAAACTTTAATCAAACGCTTTATATCTGTGTAAAAGCTTTTAAACAAACCTTTCTCCAGTTGATTCACTTTTTTTTGTCATAAGAAAAAAAATATCTAAAATCACATACAAATACAAATAATAATGTTAGGACTGCGTTGTTTTGTTTGTGTGTTTGATTTTGATTTCTAGATTGGGGGCGTGCCTTCAGCGCACCTGATGCTGGTCAGCACCCTTATTTAAACCCCGGCAGAGAGTTTGTCGGGGCCGCTGTCTATACACTTGGCAGTTCGCCAGAGCAGCGCTCCTATTTGGGCATTATGCTTTCTTTCGCATCCATACACTATCACTAACTACATTTACCGCATCCATTCATTTGCATTTCACACTGATTAAACATACTGATACTGATATTTTGATTATATAATTTAAATTGAGTTAAATAAATATTCTTTTTGATTATACTTCTCCTTGTCGTCTCCCTTATTATGTTACATCCTTGAGCCAGGTGTAACAACATGATCAAACTAGTATTACTTTCTCTGCTTCAGTGATGTCCAGCGGCAGAATAACAGCTCGTTAATTCATGCTTGTGCAGTTGATGAGACGGAGAAAAGTAATTAATGTATGCACTCCTTTTACTTATTTTCGTGTTGTCAGGTTCACAGTGCAAACAGCTCCCGGTGGGAATAACTTGAGTGAACATAAAACAAAGCCGAAGCTCTGCTTGAGCAGCACTGCACACAGCGAGCTCACATCATCCAGCTTGCGTGTCGAACTACACTACCCACAATACACTTCGCTATGGACTACAACTCCCTTAAATATTCTATTTCCCCTCCTGAAACACTAGCGTGCAAATTAAGCTAAACTGATACTAAAATTGTTTTACATTTGGTTTTGTAGTTCGGGCCAAAATAATGTTTGTTGCCGTTTTTAATCGTTTAGGTTCATTTGATCGTGTAACCCTCGATACACAAATGTATTATAAGCTGTTAATTAATTGACCAGATGCTCAGAAGTCTAAATTTCTCCAAAGAGAGAGAAGATACAACAACAGTGAAGGACTCGGACACAGAGGTAAGAATAATAAAAGATTGTATTGTAAAACTTTCACAGAAATATAAAATAAAATAAATAATAAATATAAATAAAACAAATTCTAGGCTTGTTTCACACTCATCTAATGACCTCAATCTTATTTACACTCTCTAATAACACTTCTCTTTCTTCACAGGGTTTTTGGCTGTATCACTAATAAGGTAAGTTAATATTATGTTATTTTTCTGTTTTTCTATTGTTAAGGTCTAATATTATATTTTGGTTACTATTATAAACAATAATATAATACTACTATACTAATAACAATACTATATTAAAGGTTTATAAGTGTAAGTTAATAATACAACACTAAAATTGTTTTATTATTCAATATATAATCAAGATTTCCCTTCTTAAACCAATTAACTTCTCTCTATAAAGCTTCAAAAATTGCAACAAATGAACACTCCAATGAAACAATGTACAAATAAAATAAAAATGAAAATAAAACATTCACTTAAAACATTTCAAAATGTCCCAAAAGTCCAGTACAGGTGATGAACACTCAAAAAGATTCTTTTGCAAAACAACTAGGTTGCAAATTCAGTTCCAGAGATCCAGGATGTTGCACTTGTGAGTGTGTTGTAAATTTACACTCCTACCATGACGCTGAATAGGTTTCACTTTGTATCTTTCCAACAGGTGTATCCAAAGAATCCACTTAATGGGAGGCTCGCCAGTCCAACTCCACAATTAGACACGCACCGATGGAAGTTGAGACAATCCAAATCCAGAAAAGAGTTCACACTTCAATTAATTCGAATCCAGAGCAAATCACATTCAGCAACTGACTTCAATAGAACATCTCACCAATGAAAAACCAGAAGAAGATGCACAAGCAAACAAACAAAGGGGAAAAAAAAAACATTAGCATTTTACAGTGTATGCATTATCTCAGCTTAACATAATTGTAAATAAACAGCAACAATAAATGACCATGTATATGCTTCTCTCTGCTGAATTTCTGTGTTTTTCCTATTTCTTTCACCTATTTGGCATTTTCTTTTTACAAATGACAGCATTTTACTTAAACTCTCTCACTTAAACTTTACACAATCACTTGTATAATACTGTGTATAATACTGTGTTTTCACTAGACCAAACAAATTGTTAATTAATAAAACACATTTTTGACACTAGTTTAAATCATGTTATAATGAAAACAATAATAATAAAAAAACACGAACTCACCAAGGAAATCATTCAAAATCAAAGCGAAAAACCAGGAAAACTCCAGGTGGCACTCGTGTGCAGATTTCACTCGCAGATACAAATCTTGTTTTTTGTCTCTCAATCCTTCATTAAAGATATATGATAGAAATCATTTCAGCATCTTATTAATGGTCAGTTTTCACAGTTAATACACATTTAAAACATTAAAAGATATATATCTAATAGTTTTCTACTGTTATTAATTTAAAAACTTACATCTCTGCATTCCCTTGCGAACACTGAATCACCATAGCAACGGTAAACACAAGCTAACAGACAAGAGAGATTTGTTATTGTTTGTAAATCTGATCTGCTATAGTGTAAGGCACGATGATGTTATTCTAAAGCACTATTCCCTTGAATGCTGTTTAATACTCTATTATGATTTATTTATATAAATAAATAATTTTAATATATATTATTTAATCAAGTATTCTGCCAATGTTTTTTTTTTTTCATATTTATAAGGGTATTTCTATTTGCTCTATTGCTGTGTACTACCCACTAGTAACCTGGGTTACAATTTACTATATATAAATCAGTTGACATTATTAAGGCATTTATTGGGTACAATTGCTACTTTTTACTGTCATTCATTGTGTTTTGGTCATTATCAATGCACTGTCACTTTAATTGAGCGTGAGCAGCGCGTCAAAAATAGACCCGGCGCCAAAACTATCGCTGCACTGCTGCTTCAGCGATGCTCACGCCTCGCGCTGACGCGCTGCTGCTGCGTGCGATATGAAAGCTCTAATCTGTTAACATGGACGCCGAAAAAACACGCGCTGCTGGCGCTTGCGGTGTGAAACAGCCGTTAGTCTTTACACTAAAAGAAAAAAACTGTGGATACGATACTTCCAAACGCAGTTTCATCTAAGACAGTGGGGGGGAAGCAAAATTTACTATGCTTTCTACTCAGTTACTTTGCACATGCATAAAGAGGCTCTTGTACGACAAATCCAAAAGGTGTGATCTTAACAATAGGTGGCAGTCACTTTTGCCCTAAACCACAGGTTGCCTTCAAGTCATTCCTTAAGTCCACTCGGTCTTGCACCGTTTTATAATCTTCCTTATTTAAAACAGCTCAATTAAGTCATCGGCTTCATTGTAGAGTACCCCTAGTATCTGAGCCTGCACTGCGCAATGAAAGAAAGAAGCAAAACGGGATGGACAGATGCCTGAAATGTTGGAAACGCACCACACCTTAAGTCAGTGAAGAAAAAGGGCAAAGCTTGCAACTCTTGTGGGACTCGAACCTACAACCTTTGAATGGCTCAGCTTACAGCCTAGAAGTCCAATGCGCTATCCATTGCACCACAGAGCCTGCACCAAAAAAAGCACTTTTTGGGACTCTCTGGCCCATGAAAGAACAGCCAATTGCAGACAAAGTACTGCTGGGATTTGAACTCATGATCTCCTGTTTACTAGACAGGCGCTTTGACCAACTAAGCCACAGGGTCAAACGATGTTGACAAGGGCTAATTGTTTAATCGAAAAAAGAAAAGAAAAAAACTAACAATGGTAGCGCTGCATGTGTGAATGTCTGGACTTGAAATATTAAAGTCCAATTGGTTAGGCATTACCACATTATGCTATATAAAGCCATCGTCCGAAGTCCTCTTGAACGAGTAGCGTTCTTAAGGATTTGAGTTTTGTTTAGAAACCGACTGCTAAACATCCTGCTGCGTAAACACTCGTAACTCTTAAAAAAAAGCAACCCTGGCACATGTACATTAGGCACTGCTGGGAGTTGAACCCAGGATCTCCTGTTTACGAGACAGGCGCTTTGACCAACTAAGCCACAACACCAAAGCTGAAAAGAAGGCTAGACGGTTTTGCACACAGAGACTAAAAAAAGACAGCAAGTCTAAAATGGCAATCAAAGAGGTTGTTTAACTCTATTTGTCGCACTATTCATTAGGCCTCAAAGCTATACAATTTTATTATGCATTCCGGTAAGCTCTATAAAACAAGCGCATTCACCACCTGGATCAATTTAGCCCAGGATCAATCAAGCCCAGGATCTCCTGTTTACAAGAGAGGCGCGTCGACCAGCTAAGCCACAGCACCACAATGAATGACCGTAAGAGACATTTGCCCGATAACAAAAATCGAAGAAGAATAAACCAATACACAACAAAAACCAGCATGTCAAGATGCAGAAAATGCCGACAAGATGGACATGGTCTTTTAGAGTCTGGATGATCATGTCTCAAACCTGACCAGTAACCTGGCCTCCGTTCAAGATCAAAGCAAAAAATGCATTGATTTATTTTTATTTAATCTACCCTTAATCAAGTGTCAAGTGTTTTTTAGAATCTCCAGTTTCATTACATCCAAACCCAGATTCAGCTAGGAAAATGGAAATCTGAGGGAAAGGTGCAATTTGGATTTGAACCTAGGACCTGCTGTTCCCAAGACAGGTGCTCTGGCCAACTTAGTCTTAACACTAAAAGAAAAAACCTCTGGATACGATACTTCCAAACGCAGTTTCATCTAAGACAGTGGGGGAAAAGCAAAATTTACTATGCTTTCTACTTAGTTACTTTGCACATGCATAAAGAGGCTCTTGTACGACAATTCCAAAAGGCGTGATCTCAACAATAGGTGGTAGACACTTTTGCCCAAAACCAAAGGTTGCCTTTGAGTCATTCCTTAAGCTTAATTGGCCCTGCACCGTTTCCTAATCTCCCTTATTTAAAACAGCTCAATTAAGTCATCGGCTTCATTGTAGAGTACCCCTAGTATCTGAGCCTGCACTGCGCAATGAAATTAAAAAGCAGAACAGGATGGACAGATGCCAAAAATGTTGGAAACGCACCACTCCTAAGTCAGTGAAGAAAAAGGGCAAAGCTTGCAACGCTGGTGGGACTTGAACTCAAAACCTTTAAATGACTCAGTTCACAGCCAAGAAGTCCAATGCACTATCCATTGTCTTAGATGAAATGATTTCCATTTTCCGAGCAGACAGAGGGTTTGGATGTAATGAAACTGGATATTCCAAAAAACACTTAACACATGATTAAGGGTAGATTAAATAAAAATAAATTCTTGCATTTTTTGCTTTGATCTTGAACAGAGGCCAGGTTACCGGTCAAGTTTGAGACATGATCATCCAGACTCTAAAAGACCATGTCCATCTTGTCGGCATTTTCTGCATCTTGACATGCTGGTTTTTGTTGTGTATTTTTTTCTTCTTCTATTTTTGTTATCGGGCAAATGTCTCTTACAAATAATTTTTGTGGCGCTGTGGCTTAGCTGGTCAGAATGCCTGTCTTGTAAACAGGAGATCCTGGGCTTAAATCCCAGCAGCGCCTTAGTTCAGGTGGTGCGTGTGCTTTTTTTTTTATAGAGATTAACGAAATTAATTATAAAACTGTATAGCTTTGAGGCATAATGGATAGTGCGACAAATTGAGTTACATATGAGAGCTCATTTGATTCACAACTAGTTGACTGCACACCCATGTTTTTAAGTTGTTTATCTCCCCCTCCATATTCTCCATTCCTCAAACCTATTGAGGACCTTTTTCCTGCCTGGAGATGAAAAGTGTATGACCGAAATCCAAACACACGTATACCCCCGCTCCAAGCTATAGCAGTTGATGCTTTTCATGGCTGGATTTGCCATGCAAGGTGACATTTCCCCCACTGCTTGGCCACACCAATACAGAAAAGAGAATGCAGTATAGCTGGTTTTTTTTTTTATTTTTTTATTTTTTTACTGTAACTGTATTTAGTAAATACTTTTGTTGATGGTATATGTAGACCACATTTTCTGCAACTTTGTGTTGGTTGGGATGAACACTGTACACTGTTTTTGTGAGGAAAATACAGTAAAATATATTTGGTATTTGTTTGTTTTGTATAAAAACAATTTTCGAAAAATTTTACAATGCACTTCTGTAGTTCTATGTACTGTCTGTAGTAAGTGTAACACTGAACAGAAGAAGGCTTACAGAAAGTCATTATGATGAATAGAGAAGTCGTCATAGTGTTTTACATTAAGCACATTAGTGTTTAACTTATCTTATGAATGTCTGTTAATGTGATGGCTTGTGTGTGTCATTTGAAAACAAAATACCATTTTGAGAAGAAATCACATTGTTTTGAACTTATAGTTTCATTTTGCAGAAGAATTGAAGAGTTTTGCCCAATGTGTGTGTGTTTTGTGATTTGTGTGTAGAGTTCTGACAATATGAAACATGCTTTCAGAAATTGTGTGTAAACAACTGGAAAAAACTGGAAACAACCTCTTTGGTTGTCATTTTAAGACCTCCAGGAACAGGTTTAGTGACCCCTGGCTTAAAAGCATAGTTCACTCAGACAGCAACTTTACAGGGCAACACTATCTGCTGACGAACTGGCATTCTCAGAAAAAAGGCCTCTGTGTAAGCCACAATGCCCTTACAAAACAGCAGACAACTGTAAGGGCTCAACCGAAATTTGAATCTGGGATTTCTCACGGCATGAACGAAAAGCATACTGCTAGACAACCAACTCACTATGGAAAGGAATGTTTATGTGCCGACACTATCTGCTGACAAACTGGAATTCTTCGTGAATTGTTTTTTTATGAAAGCCATAATGCCCTGTAAAACAACAGAATAACTGCAAGGGCTCGTCCGGGATTTGAACCCTGGACCTCTCGCACCCTAAGCGAGAATCATA